AAAAGATGTACACATTCTTAGTGGGCGTTTGGACATAAGAATTGTAAAATTCCAAAAAAAAAAAAATGAAAAAAAAAAATTTAAGTGAAAATAATATTTAAAAATTAGAGTTGTGTTTGGACATGAATATAATTTTGGGTTGTTTTTGAAGTTTTGTGAGTGATCTGAGTGAAAATTTTGAAAAACAGCTTTTTTGGAGTTTTTCAAATTTTCGAAAAATTTCAAAATGCATCTTCAACTGAAAATTGGAAATTTTATGAACAAATGCTGATTTCGAAAAAAAGTGAAAAAATTTCGAAAAAAAGGAAAAATTTTCTTATGTCCAAACAGGCTCTTAGTGGGCGTTTGGACATAAGAATTGTAAAACTCCAAAATAATTTTCAAGTGAAAATGGTATTTGAAATTTTGAGTTGTGTTTGGACATGAATATAATTTTGGGTTGTTTTTGAAGTTTTGTGGGTGATTTGAGTGAAAATTTTAAAAAACAGATTTTTGGAGTTTTTTAAATTTTCCAAATTTTCAAAATGCTTCTTCAATTGAAAATTAAAAATTTTATGAACAAACAGTAATTTTAAAAATAAGTAAAAAAAAAATTGAAAGAAAAGAGAAAAATTTCTTATGTCTGAACGGGCTCTTAGGTTTTTCATTTTGCATTTCCTGATCCTAAATGATGTAACTTGTGCTTTATCCATCCGGAAAGCCCCTCTTGCTTCTCTAGGCATATCTTGGACCAACAAAAACATAGTTGTTATAGGAAAAAACTCCAACCCAGCTCATACATGGCCAAAGCAGCCATTGAATTACCGGTAAATTTCACAAATGATCATCTAATTATGACTTTTTTTACCAAAGTCATATAAGTTTATTTTCTCACACAAAAATCATAAAACTTTCACTAACTCACATAAAAATCATAGAGGTCGGAAAACAAATTTTTCGGTACTATTTTCTTATTTTTTATTTTTTATTTTTTATTTTTTATTTTCAGTCTAATAAATAATTACCCAATTAAAATAGGAAAAATATGAGTATATTTTTAGCCTTCCCAAAAATAATAGCCGTTAAAATATTTTTTATATATTTTGGCTAGCAAATACAATTAGTTTCGAGCGACCGGTTAATTTTATATTTTTCCTTGAAATAGGAATGACCCAACCCAATCGTGACCCAATAACGAAAAATGAATTCTTCCCCCATAAAAAACTTAGTTCAACATTCTGACAAAATTCAAAGAAATAAAAGGTATAATTAGAGAGCACTTGAAATAAAAATCTTGAAAAAAATAAAAATAAAAAGATAGCATTTAACCAACCCGACAATCAGATGTTTCGACCCCATTGAATAGTGGACCACTCGTTGAAGATAAAAGTACATCGAACCCAATTAAGTTTTACATGGATTGTATCCATTGAGCAAATCTTATTAGATACCATTGACTCTGGTATCTAATAAGTTTTACCTACTATTGGATTTGAACCAATGACTCCCGACGTATGAAAGCAGTACTCTAACCACTGAGTTAAGTAGGTCATTTATCATCCCAAAGAGAACCAAATGAAACCCATCCTATCGATGGATTATAAATATCATATTACTTAATAAGCAATACTAATCTAAGGAATACCGCTCAAAGAGATCAAAGATTGTTGATGTTGGATCATGGAATATTTATCTTGACAAGAATTTATCTACATGATAAAATATGAATCACAAGCACTAAGGGCTATAGCTCAGTTGGTAGAGCAACTCGTTTACACGCGCGCCAATGTTTTTCAAGGGAGTTCATCATACAATCAGAAAAATTGATCTTGTTGAGAAATCGATGTCTTACACCATAACTTTGAGGGATAGGTTCAATCAAGATTTGCTTCTCTGGAGTACCAAAGGCAAGCGTGACATCATTATGAACATAAAGTCCCAGGGTATGGAATCCCAGAAAGAGGCCGGCCCAACTTAAATGATACGATAGCTTCTTTATGCTCTAACATTCTTGCCAATACATTTTCTTCATTTTGCTTCGGATTGTAATATCTGATGAAAAATATAGCTCCATGAGAAGTATCATGTTTTGAAAAATTTACTGTTCACTTTTAGTATTATTCTAATTTTTATATATATGAGTATTGGATCGGATGGGCCAGGTTGGGTTGGGTCATCCATATTTTAATTGGATTATTATTTATTAGACTGAAAATAAAAAATAAAAATCACAAAATAAGAAAATACTACTGAAAAATTATATTTTCCGATCACTATGATTTTTGTGTGAATTAGTAAATTTTTATAATTTTTGTGTGAGAAACTAAAGTTATATGACTTTAGTGGGAAAAAATAGTTATATAATTTTTGTATAAGAAAATAAAGCTATATGACTTTGGTGAAAAAAAGTCATTGTTATATGAACATTTGTAAAATTTATCCTGAATTACCCTCCCTGAAACAATGTTGGGCAGAGATAACAATTTCATCATTAAGTTCCCAGGAGACAAAATACATAGTTTATCCATTGACCTTGTACTCAAATCCCTATTACACTCGTGTCGATCACGGGAAAAGGTGAGAAAGAATCATTCAGAGTCCCAAAACAAGTGGAAAACAAAAAAAAAATGCATTAAAAGATATATGGAGAATAATAATAGGGAGTACAATCTTGCAAAAAGATAGTACTTTTTAATTAATGTCACTGACTTAAATTGTACAGTACTTTATAATTATTCTTCTGCCTATGTTTTCCCATATGGGGAAAAAATTCCAGTCTTAATTCACCTTTAGATCATGTAATGCCAAATTCTCTTATTATAGTAATTATTGCTTAATACATCTAATTTCTGGTACTAATTAATTATACTTTTTATATATCCTTTAAATCATGTAATGCCAAATTTCTTTCTCTTAATCAAACTTCAGATTTTGGCATATAGTAAATTTTATTGGAAATTTACAAAGTCTTGATCATAAACCTTCTTGAGATTCCTTCTTGTGGTCCTATAAATACCCCACAAATTTCTTTTTATTTTTTAATTATTTAATCACTTCTTAATGATTAACTCCAAACATAACATAAATAAGAGATAAAATGATTCTTTATTTCTAAATCTTCACATGTTAGAAGCCCCTCTCCTTAAATAAAAGAAAAATTAAAATGGAAAAAAGTAAAGAGAAAATATATAAAAATCTACCCATATTTAGCATCTACCTTTAATTTATTATGATTAGGAGACAAATTAAAGTGAGAATATTTATCAATTAACTACGGTTTAGTGATAATATTATATGTGAAGACATACGTCATGTATTCAATAGTTTGGTGGCGGATAAACTTTTACCGAAAAATAAAGGGAGGAAATTAAGGGCTCGTTTGGTACGAGGGATAAGGAATAATTAATCCCGAAATTAATTTTGAGATGAGTTTATCCTATGTTTTGTTGGGATAAAATTAGGGGTCGTTTGGTTGGAAAGAAGTTATCCCGGGATTAATTATCCCGAAATTAGTTATCCCAGGATTAGTTATTCCATATTTTTATGGGGATAAAAAAAAATATTACAATCTCGGGATTAATTATACCATAATTTTCTCCCAACCAAACATGGGATAAACTCTTCTTAAATTTAAAATTCCGAGATTATAGTGTTATTTTTATCCTTATGGAAGGGTGAGATAACACTACCGATATAACTAATCCTGGAATAATTCATCCTCAGATAATTTTCCCAACCAAACGACCGTATGAGGTATAAGTAGGTAAAGTGCTGGTATAAAAATTTAATACCACCATAATACTTTGTTTGGTTAGCAAACCCGGTATAAGTTATCCCGGAATTAAAATTAGTACCGGAATAACTTACACCTTATAGGGGGTGGGGTAATTAGTGCCTGGATAACTTATACTTTCTTCTTAGAAATTATGCAATTATTATTTTTAATACAACATACCAAATAATGAATAAAAAATAAGCTGTATTCAAACCAGACGACCCCTAAAAGATTTAATAAACCTAGGGGTGTCAATGGATATTTAAAAACCGATTAAACCGACCGAATCATACCGCGCCGAACCGATTTTTAGGTTTCTTTTAAAGAAACCATAGGTTTATATATAAATCTATAACCGTACCGGTAATTAGGTAGGTTTTTTAGTATAAAAATAAACCTAAAAATTTCGAACCGTTATATAGTAAGTTTAATACGAATAAAGCATTAAATTTTTCATTGGTTTTTGGAATTATGAAAACTGTTACAATCCAACAAGTAATTAAACTTAAAATACTAAATCCTAAAATCTATTATGCTACTTATACTTAAACTAAGTTATTTCAAGTATCTTTATTAGCAAGACACAAAGTGTTCTAGTGATTATAAGTAGAAAACTACAATGTATTGAATATACCCTTTCATACAATTTAGATTTATCTTTTTGAATATTTAATATAAACTTTATTCTTGAGTCTCGGCTTGGTTAATATTTTTCCACTCGTGTGATTTATATTTTCTTTGCTTTTACTTGATTTCTTTTACATTGTTGTCGAATAGTTGATGGATCTATACTCTAGTCATCTTTCATGTTTTTTTAATTCCTCACCCTTTAAACAGTAAAAATGTCTAGAAAATTTTGGTAAATCCTGTAAAAGAACATATGTTATTGCATTTTACTTCTACCGGTGAATTTTACATGATATTTAAAAAATACCGAAAATTAACCGAACCGTACCGACACCGAAGTGAAACCGACATGATTGGGACGGTTTCGAAAAGTCTAATTTTGGTTATACATAATAGAATAACCAAAAAATTAGTATGGTACAAATTTTATAAAATAACCGTCCGAACCGAACCATTGACACCCCTAAATAAACCCAATTAAACAAGCAGATGATTGCATAAAAAAACTTGCTTTTTTCCCCTTAATTTAATGATGTTTGGTGTTATCTATCCCTGATCTTTCTCTCTCTCTTTATTTCCCTTTTGGCTTCTTTTTTAAAATGAAATTACTTAAGCAGCTGACACCTTAGCTATTTCTCTCAGTGTTTCTTTTTTGTCAAACTCTTTCAATAATAAGTGGATCTCACTGTTCTTGATTTCTTTCTTCACTAAACACAATTCGGTTTCTTAAAAATTTAATCTTTTATTGTTCATTTAACAAAAAAAAAAAAAAAAAATTCTTAAAGTTAGGATTTTTGCATTCCCATTCAGCTTCTAACTTTGTTTTATGAGTCTTAAAGTTCTTTTCTTGAATTTTGTATAATCCATATTTTGGATTTCTCAAAGATTTAATCTTTTTTTGTTCATTTATCAAAAAAAAAATATAAAAAAAAAAATTAAAGTTAAGATTTTTTGCATTTCCATTTCATTTTCTAGCTTTTTATGGTTCTTAAAGTTGTAATCTTGGATTTTGGTATAATACATATATAGGGGTTGGAGTTAAATTTTAAAAGGTTTGATCTTGTTAGTTTATGTGATTTAATTTCTGAGTTTGTTTCTGTATACTGGGGTTTTAAGCTTATATTCAGCTTTTTTATGTGTTAAATTCAATTGGATTCTATTATTTCTTCATTTGTTTATTTTGAGTGTTTTTGAGGGATTAATTAGTGGGACCACTTGCTCCAAGACTCTGTGGGCTGCTTCACTAGTTTTCTTTATTCAGGTATGATAAATGCTATAATTTTTGTATAATAAAATTTATAGTTTGAGCTTGTTATGTTTACTGGTTTTCTTAGATTTTATGTTAGAACTGTTAATTGCTCAGCATACCCTATTTGAGTATTTTTGTATTTGTTGAAGTAGTTTACACTAGCATGAATTTAATTGGTTTCTTCATTATGAAATATTAATAGATTATCTTTTTTTTTTTTTAGAGGGGGGGGGGGTTGTAGGGAGAGGGTGGGGGTGGGGGTGTGTGTGAATGGGTGCTTATTGGTGTTAAGACTGTTAGTGAAGTCTAGCATGATTTGGTTTCTACATCATGAAATATTTATAGATTTTTTCTTTTTTTTTTTTAGGGGTGGGGGGGGGGGGGGGTAAGGGGGAGGGGTGCTTATTGGTGTTAGACTGTAAGTGAAGTCTGTAATTTCAAGTTAGGAGCTCCTATTACATTAATTAAGAGATCTTTCACATTCATTTTGAGCTTTGCATTTATTAGTTATGGTGTAAACATCGCGTGCAAGTAAGTCTTTTTAATGATTTTTTGGGTGAGGTCATGCTGTGCAATGCAATTAACTGGGCATTTTTGTGCGTTTTTTCTTAGCAGCTAAATCGTTGAGCTTGTTGTATGCTGATCTCGAAGCTAAATGATTGGTCAATACTGTTGGCGACTGCTTTGTTTTATTTATTATTTTTAGACGTTAGTGGCTTCTTTGTTCTATTCGACAACTATGGCGTATATGTTTATTTGCATTGGTCAAATTATTAAGTTGTTTTATACACCTAGGATTGAGCTCAGTGAATTTCTCTGTGGACTTGTATATATATTTTTGTGCATTTTTTCTTAGCAGCTAAATCGTTGAGTTTGTTGTATGCTGATTTCGAAGCTAAGTGATTGGTCCATACTGTTGGCGACTTCTTTGTTTTATTTATTATTTTTAGACGTTAGCGGCTTCTTTGTTCTATTCGACAACTATGACGTATATGTTTATTTGCATTGGTCAAATTAGTAAGTTGTTTTATACACCTAGGATTGAGGTCAGTGAATTTCTCTGTGGACTTGTATATATACCCTTTTCCTTCTTCTGTTTACTTCATTTTACCCCTACGATTTGGCTGTGTCATGTTATTTTGGTAGTTAGATGAGATAATGTGGTCAGGGAATTCAGAGTAGATTATCCTTTTTCATCGTTTATCTTTTTACCTTTTCTGGTAGTTAGATGAGATAATGCTTTCTGAAGTTTGAGGTTCATTTATATCCATCGCATTCTGTAATTTCAGCACTTGCTTGTTGCTGTTATTTTGAATAAAAATCTTACTTAAAGCCAAAAAGGAAAAAATAAAAAGAAATAAAAAAGGTTGGCTGTTTCTTTAGTAACCTCGACTGGCTCGTCATGAATGATGTCACTCCTTTTGGACATGTCGCCTTTATTTCTCCCTTGACTTTTAAAACAAATAATTTCACATCTCCTTTCATTGGCAGTTACATGATATCTTTTATTTATTATCTTTTCAGGCTAAACTGTTGGGACGGACTTTTTAACATTTTAGGATATGAGCATCACTATTGAAACCAATGACATGATGACATCCAAAGTAGACGTGGATTCGCCCGACGAAGCTACTGGTGGAGTAAACGCCGGTGGAAGTGAACCACTTAAAAAAGGTCCCTGGACTTCCGCGGAAGATGCAATTTTAATGGATTACGTCATGAAACATGGCGAGGGGAATTGGAATGCTGTCCAGAAGCAATCAGGACTTGCTCGTTGTGGTAAAAGTTGCCGTTTGCGGTGGGCAAATCACCTGAGACCAGATTTAAAGAAAGGTGCATTTACTCCAGAGGAAGAGCGGCAGATAGTTGAGTTGCATGCTAAGATGGGAAACAAATGGGCACGAATGGCTGCTGAGGTTCATATTATCTCTCAATCTTTTCTCTGTCACATATAGTTACTGACAACTATTTGCAGCTGTCTTATTTTGCTCCATATCTTTGCTTAGATAATCATAACGCATAAATGTCATCTGCTTTCAGAATCTTTGTTAAACTATCATCAAGAGTTTGTTAAAAATGGCAGTTCAAGATTTGGTTTTGGTAAAAAAAACATTCATTGTTTTATATTTAAATAAATATACATGATATTAGTATATAGTTGTCGTTGTTATATTTCTTATTTTAAGATGATGAAAAGAATATACATAAAATCTTACTGAAGATTGTTTTGTTAACTCCCAGAATCCAAGAAGTAAATGGTTTCCGGCTCAATGAGACTTGTCCCATCTTCAACTCTTATCTACCTTAACATATTTATATGTACGCTTATTATACACTTGGTAATTGTCCCTCGACCAAGATAGGAAGTGAGCAGGAAAAGTAGACAAAAGTTTTGCTTGGTAAAAAGGTTATAAGCGAAGTTACTAATAATGAACGCAACTTTGTCCAAGCCACTTTCTCCCAATTATGATTTTCTCTATACTATCTGCTATTTTTTATAATAGTTAAAAAGTTCATTCTTCCATTTCCTAGGTACACATGATTTTGCTCTGGGTAATATGTGCAGTAATTGTGTTGCGATAGTGCTTTTGTGCTTGTTAGAACTTATAAATTTACAGATTAGCAAATGTGCATTTTCATCCCTTTTAATACCTATTTCTATAACTTTCATGACATTGCATGAAGTTGATTAATGCTTATTTGGTCCCAGATTAGCTGTTCAACTTTTTTAAACCATTTATCTATTTCCACATTTAGATCCACTTCTATATAATTACCATAGAAATTTCGACTCTTATTGTGATAACTGTTAAAGAATCAGGATATCTGGCCGGAGGTAGTACTAATTAAATAATCAGGAGTATGATTTCTTCAACTTCAATTGGATGATTGGTGGTATATGATTCATTAATTAGCTTTCGTTATGCTCTTTTTTACCTTTTCAGTTGCCTGGCCGCACAGATAATGAGATAAAGAACTACTGGAACACCAGGATAAAGCGACATCAGCGTGCCGGCTTGCCAGTTTACCCTCCAGATATTTGTTTCTTGGCAAGTCAGAACAAACAAAATGAGGAGTTGAGTGCATTCTCCTCTGCAGATGCACAAAATCCTGATGTCTCGGGAACTAACAATTTTGATATTCCTGCTGTAGAGTTCAAAAATTTGGAACTCAATCGGCCGTTATATCCACCACCACTCTTTGAAATTCCTTCTAATAGCCTGCTCGATATTACTGTAAGTAGCTTTCTCGCCCAGGGTCATAGTCCTCCCTATAATAGTACGTCTTTCCTTTCGACAATGCATCCGTCTAAGCGTATACGAGGATCAGAATCCGTGTTCTTCGGTTCAAATGGTGGTTCTTTGCTAGGTCAGCCCTTGGGGTTTTCCTCATATAATAATCATAATGTAACATATGATGATCACCGACCATTCTCGAGTATTGTAATTCCGGGCAGCCATGCCCCTTTAAATGGCAATTCCTCTTCTTCAGAGGAGCTCCCTTCACTCCAAAATCAGACGGCGAATTGGGGCCCACCATCTTCCCCTTTTCCTTCACTAGAGTCCGTTGATACTCTAATTCAGTCACCTCCAGCTGGACACAGTGAATCAGGTAGTGATCTGTCGCCTAGGAACAGTGGTTTACTGGACGCTATGCTTTATGGATCACAAACTATGAAAGCTTCAACCCATAACTCACACCAAGAGAATGAGACGTTTGGTGATGCAGTCGATAATTATTATGGCGATCCACTCTCTCCTTTGAGTCATTTCACTGCATCAGCATTTAGTGAATATGCCCCTATCGACGGAAGCTCATTACATGAGTTCCCGTCATTAGCCACAATGCCAGGTGAGAATGGTGAATTTTTTGGCTTCTCCTTATTATCTGCATATTTAATTGTAGTGTGTTTATACTTGATATAATTGGATTATTTCATGATGTTGAAGGATGCAAAGTTAAGCAAGAGAATGTTGCCACATCATCAGGGCAAGCTTGTGGACGCGATTCTTGTGCATGGGATGCCATGTCCGCTATGTAGTCGATGAGCTGAACGCGATTATGGTACTTTTAAAATCCATGAGAACATCTTTTTTTTAGACCAGTTTGTTATCTCAGTTATTATATGACAGTGGAATACAATGTAATAGTTTCCATTAACTGGAAAAACTTTTGCATGTTCTGGGTACATTGAGTTTAGGCAATCTAAAGACAAAAACATTGATACTTCTTTTTATAATATTAGACTGAGACAGGCTTAATTAAGTGATGTGGACAGTGAGTATTCATATAGCCGACCTCAACTTGCCTAGGACTGAGGCGTAGTTTGTTGTTTTAAATCAGTTGCGGTTTGGTGGAGTTGTGGCATTTACTTGTGCGAGACAGTAAATTGTACCTCATGCCTTACTGCATGCAGTCTAGAAACATGAAATGAGTAGGTGAAGCATGAAAAAACATTCCTTAAAACCTGTTTATTTAGCCTGTTTGGCCAAGCTTTGAAAATCAGCTTATTTCGAGAAGTACTTTCGGTAAAAGTATTTTTATCGAGAAGTAGTTTGTGTTTGGCTAATTACTCTGATTAGTGTTTGACCAAGCTTTTAAAAAGTGCTTCTAAGTGTATTTTTCTCAAAAGTACTTTTTAGGATAAGTTATTTTTTTCTGCCTCTTAAAAATTTGCTCTAATTCTATTCAAAAGTTAAGCTTGGCCAAACCCCTCAACATTTATAAAAAAGCAATTTCTTTGGAAAAAAAAAAAACAATATTATTGGCTTTGAAGAAGCTTGGCCAAACATACACTTGTCTGTAAAGTTTGTTACAGCTATAAAAAGGAAAATATAAGGGCTTGGCTTAACTTCACTAGATCTGTCATTTTCGTTGTTTGAATCCGTGACATCCTGGTGACGTGGAGTCATTGCGCAAAAGATTTTTTTTTCTTTAGGCAATTAATCTGAAATGATATGAAAACTTTTTGAATTATTGTTTTCAGTATTTTAAAAACGAAAAAGGAAATAGAAGGGGGGGAAATAGATAAGAAAAGGGAGACTTAATTTTATTTATTTATTTTTTTGACATGGTTTTTGCCTTCACGCAAAGTCTCTCTATGTGCAAATGAAGCTGCGTGAATGATTTCCTGCCCGAAATTCTATACTTTTACCTTCTTTTGGAGACTAATTGATGATCCCTTTTACGTCACAACTAATGCTCCTTAGGGGTCGTTTGGCTGGGTGCATAAGAATAATGCTGAATAGGGTGTAATAGTAATGCTGGTATTATTTATGCTTGTATTAGTTATGCTGCCCTTCCTGAGCTGAGGGTCTATTGGAAACAGCCTCTCTAGCTGCATTAGGTAGGGGTAAGGTCTGCGTACAGACTACCCTCCCCAGACCTCACATGTTGGGATCAAACTGGGTTTATTGTTGTTGTTGTTGTTGTTGTTGCATTAATTATGCTGACATATTTCTTATCCATTGTTTGGTTTGATATATTAAAGCATTGCACAATTTCTAAAAGAATTGTTTGTTTACAAAAATACCCCATAACTAGTCCATCACTTTATCTTTTTTAAAAAAAATATATGTTGAGGAATGTTTTTATATGAAAAAGGTTTTAAAAGTTATTTGATTTGTCTACCTATATTGTAGTATAGAACTAAATATTTATTTATAAAAAAGGAAATATGCTAAGTATTTATTTATCTATATTATTAGGCAAAGAAAGTTTGAATTTAAAAAAATAAAAGAAAAATGAGTTGATTACAAGTGCATTCCAGTAGTAGTAGAGTACAAATTTATACGATGAAGAAATTGGTGAAGTATAGGTATAAATAGCGTGAGCAATTCAGTATCAAACTTTACATCATTTGCATTAATATAATAGCATATCTTAATCAAGCACACATTTCGAAGGGCAATTTTTTCTTTAACCAAGCTAATGCATGTATTAAAATCTATTGCATTGTTAATACCATGGTTTCATATGCATTAGTTATGCATAGGATAATACCAAACAGGATGTATAACTAATGCTTGCATAACGAATGTATAGTTTCATAAAATGTACCAAACAAGATTATTAATACACAAAGCTAATGCAGGCATTATTTATGTAATGCATACTTGTAAGTTACCCTTACCCATGATTTATGCATGCATTGTTAAAACACCATTGAGTTTTATTCATAGTTCAAGTCAGAGAAATTGAACTAGAGGACTATGAAGTAATATTTGTTGGCACTTTATGACGTGAAGGTCTGATCTTGTAATCCTTGTTTGAGGAATAAATGATCCAATTTTTTGGATCAATTTTGATCCAAATGAGACATTTAGGTACCCACTTAATTTTTTTTAAAAAAGGTTCAGAACTTCAACATCTCAACTTAAAAATACCAAACTTCCAGCCCAAGAATAAATGCAAGACATTTGTCCTTTTATACACACATTTGTCCCATGATTGAGTGTTGGCCAGTCAAGATCGCTCATGTCTAGAAGATAAAGTAGCAGAGATGAGGATGAGAGATGGATGTGCGAGCACACCAGATTGGATAGGATCAGAAATGAGGTTATTCGCGACAAGGTGGGTGTGGCCCTTATTGAGGACAAGATGTTGGAAGCGCGGCTTAGGTGGTTTGGTCATGTGAGGAGGAGGAGCACAGACACCCCAGTGAGGAGGTGTGAGAGGTTGACATTGGAGGGCATACGGAGAGGTAGAGGTAGACCAAAGAAGAGGTGGGGAGAGGTGATTAGGCAAGACATGGCGTAGCTTCAGCTGACCGAGGACATGACCCTTGATAGGAAGATACGGAGGTCGAGGATTAGGGTAGTAAAGTAGGTTGTCCAGAATGTTTATAATAGTTGTATTGGCACACGGTCTCGCTTTCTGTAGGTAGTAGGTTCTTGTGACTAACCGTTGTTTTCTTTCATTGTTGATCACCTTACTATCTTGTTATTTTATTCTGCTTTTATATGACATTTTGGTACTGTCCCTTCTTATCTATATTTTCATTAATGTGGTGCTTATGCTTTCCAATAGCCGAGGGTCTATTGGAAACAGCCTCTCTATCCTCACAAGGTAGAGGTAAGGTCTGCGTACACACTACCCTCCTCAGACCCCAGGGTGTGGAACAACACTGGATATGCTGTTGTTGTGTCACATGATTTTTTATATATATATATATATATATATATATATATATTCACTATGATTTTAACTGCTCAATGTAAATAGTGCCTGCAGGTTGGTTTTATATTATACCCTACTAAGCCTACCAAATTCATCGCATTGGATTGAGTTCGGAGATTAATAATGGTTTCGTTAAAGTTTCAACGACCAAAATCACACATTTGATAAATTGAAGGTTAAATGTAAAATAACACAAAGAACCAAAATTGGAATAAAGCAATAACTCAAGACTGAAATCACTATTTTAGCGATTCAAACAGAGAAACAAAAAGAATCAAGCAAACAACTGCCCCTCAACTCAAAATCAACAGAAAAAGCAAAGCATTTCTCCCTATATCAACCACTCCTGTCTTTACAATGAATGTAAAGAACACAACCAGTAAAATTGTCAAGCTATGAAAGAGTTTTACAAAATTCCCGAGCAACGGTCCATTGCCAGCTTAGACAATATGCAATAACAATTCAGAAATTTGGAAATAAACCAGAGAAGACGACATCCTTTTTCTACAGAGCAGCACGTGTGAATTACAAACAACAGTATCCTCCAATTAGGGGGAAGTTACAAGGTTATATTGGCAAAAAGCAAAGGCAATGGCTTTTTGGGATCAAGTCTTACCCTGATAGCCTACTGACAACCCAACTTGGTGTCAGTTTGAAGGTAAAAAAAACTCAGTAAGCAGCAACTTCCAGAATACTGGTATTACAAACAGACTCGTCATCGATATTTCAGAAACTATGGTACAATTTTACCTTCCTATCAACATTTTCAACACTGTCCTCCAATATACAGAACAACATCAGGGTTCTCTACCTAAAATCAGGTCCGTTGCCTTACCCTCCTGCCATTGGTATCACCACCGTCTGAAAGCTGGGCCCAAACGCTTCTAGACTTTCCACCTCCACTGCTACAATCATCATCACAACCAGCAACGGTTTTAAGAAGCTCTGACTGAAGAGAGGGGCAGTTTTCTTTAAGGTATTCAAATCCATCCGATTGCATGACAGCTGCGAAAACATGCCAACTAATAGATGAGAGAAGGCTACAATGCAAAGAGCATACAAAAAAACACCTGCAGATTTCCATGTCTATCCTAGTTTTTAACATAGAAAGGTCCCCAAATGCACTCTGCTGCTAGTTACAGAAGCCGAAGCCAAACTCCCGAATGGAGCAGCAACTCATCAAACAAAATGCTCGAGACATTTGGACATCCAAAGGGATATGTGCAATGTCTCTTTTGTTTTTGACAATCGAGAAATCCCCGAGGGCTAGTCGCATATGGTTTGAAACTAGATGGATAATGAGACCGCCCCTCTACTCTTCTCCACTTAAAGACTAGGTTTTTGTTTGCAACAGGGTTTGAACCTTTGAGTAAGTGAAGTGTGGGCCTAACCCACACTACACGCGCCACGCTCTTACCACTAGACCATAGTCGTGGGGGCTATAGCACTATGTCATTTTTTTACCTTTTGGATCAGTTCTATAGCAGTATCTCACTTGGTAACATGACTTAGTGAGACTTCTTCCCATTTGATAGAACGTGTTTGCAATTTCAACAAATTATCTCATTCTCTTCATCATTTTCAGTTTATTCACCAAACCCATAGATTCTCAATCAATTTTAGCAATAAATGGTCCCTACCAAAAGCACACAATAACAGAACCATGAAAAGTCACATACGTCTTTAATTTTTTCATGTGTCTTTGACACACATTTGAAATGCCCTAACTTGGTGAATTCCAAAATTTAGGACGTGGGAGTTGGAGCCTCTTTGGTGGTAAAAGAATTTTTTTCAACTTCTAGGGAAGTACATAATTTTCTGTGTCTCTTTCCAGAAAGGTAGTTAAATTTCATTAATTGGAATCTACTTTACGCGAGGTTAACTTTATAGTACACCCATTTACAGCATCACAACTGACACAACTACCAAATACAAACATGTACATCAGTCACTATAAATTTAATAGCCATTTCAGAATAAATATTCCATCCGAGAGCACTCACTAGTGAGAAACATTTTTTCATTTAATTCCAGGAAGAAAACATTTCTCATACCATTTTCAGATCACTTTTCAATTTACTCATGTA